GGTAATACTAGTCACCCCACCAAAGATTGTTTTAGCAAAGGAGGAGTGATGGAAGGGAAATGCGATGAAGTATTGGCCCGCAAACGTGCAGCCCGAGAGGCTAAGAACACCTCTACCACCACTAGCAAAAGCACAGCCAAGCCAACTGCTGCTACTGGGAAACCAGGTGGCCTACGTTACGATACGAGTGGACGCGCCTACTTACTTGACAGCGAGAGTCACCAGGCCATCTATGTCGCATCCACCCCTGGGCCATCTGAGCCCACAGCATCCTCTACTACCGAATTTGCAGGTCTTGCCAGTGACGAGATCACTCCCGCATTCATTCATGAATTATCGGATGCCAGTGAGGATGAATACACTACGCTACTCGCCTCCGTTGACTCCCTCACTACCAGTCTCAATTGGCGCGCTCAGACCCATCCAGTTGACTTCACAGGTCTCACGTACAAAGCTCCCAATCAACATCAATGCACCATCGTGGATCCCTCTGTCGTACTGTTCTTCCTTGATAGCGGTGCCTCAGTGCACATCAGCAACGACCAGGCCGACTTCTTTAGTCTTCACCCTATCCCACCTCGCTCAGTCAATGGTGTTGGGGGCTCGTCAGTCCAAGCTATCAGCATCGGCACTCTGCATCTCATTGTCACCAGAGGAATTCACATCACCCTCGACAACGTACTATTCATACCTGGTGCGATGGTATGCTTGATCTGTGTCTGCTCTCTGCGAGGCACATCGTTGCACCGCGTCCTTTGACGCCGCCACTTGCTGGGTCCAATCTTGTAGTGGCAACCACATGCTGTCCGGCACACTCACTTCCCGCCGGCTGTATGCACTCTCCACTGAACACGCTTATTTTGCTCACCAGAAGCCTACACTCGAGTCTTGGCACCGTTGGCTCGGACATGCGAATTACTGTGCTGTCTACGATCTTGCCCACTCCGGCAATGCTACTGGTATGCCCATTAATCTCTCTACCATTCCACCCAAGTGTGACGCCTGCATCCTGGGCAAACAGACTCGGACTAGTGTTCTGACCGTTCGTCAAGGTGTTAGGTCTAGTAGGAAGTTGGGCATTGTTCATGTCGACTTAATGGAGCACCCTGATACCATATCAGCTGCCAGCAATAAATACATCATGGATATCATTGACGACTATTCTTCCCATGTCTGGTCTATTCCCCTTCCAACTAAGTCCGCAGCATTCCCAGCACTACAGGCCTGGACACGCACTCATGAAGTCGAATCAGGCTCTACAGTCAGTATATATTGCACCGACAATGGGGAATTGAAGTCCGAGTCAATGCGAAAGTGGCTCCTCTCGTGTGGAACTCAGCATCAATTTACTGCCCCCTACACCTCAGCACATAATGGGCGCGTGGAACGCATGCATCGGACTCTGATGGGTAAAGCTCGTACAATGCGCTCCACTTGCAGTGTTCCTGTCAATAGATGGGATGAGTTCGTACTTACCGCGTGCTACTTATCCAACCGCACCCCAGTTATCTCCCAAGAAGGTCATACGCCCTTTGAACAATGGTACGGGCATAAACCGGATCTTTCACACTTATGTGAGATTGGCTGTAGGGCCTTCGTACTTATCCAAAACTGACACAACCCTAAGGTGCTTGATTGGTCTGTTGAATGTGTGCTGATCGGATACGCTCTCGACTCAAAAGCTTATCAATGCTATCATCGGCAATCCCACAAAGTTTTTGTTTCTCACCATGTGTCATTTATAGAATCTCACCAAGCTTCGCCTTCCGTCCCTTCATTGTCACCTCCGGCTCCCCTATCATCTGTGCCTCATAACTTGTCTGTTTCTGTTGAAGAGGTCCCTGATGTTGACTCTCCTACACCCACACAGCCAACCTTACCAGCACAGCCATCCCTACCAGTGCAGCCACGGCATTCCCCACGTGTTCCCATACCGTCTGAACGTCAGTGCGCCATGGACAGTAAGTCCTATGTGTCGCCAACTCAACGAGCTGTTCTGGATTCCCTGGAAACTGCTGATCATCTCAAGGCACTCTCCCCTGCCGACTCTCCCAGTGAACAAGCCCTTGCTGCTGTTTTTACTGAGGAGGAGTTTGCAGCGCTTGCTGATGCTTTCGCAGCTATGCCGGATAACCTCAAACACGAGCTTCCCAACGACCCTTCCTCCTACGCAGAGGCTATGGCTTCCACACACGCCCCAGAATGGACTTCCACTCTCCGTGACGAATTCAACTCACTACGGGACCTTGGTGTCTACAAGCTTGTGCCACGGTCCGCTGTACCTCCTGGTCGCAAGATCATGTGTGGGCACCCCATCTTCAAACTTAAACAAGACCAACACGGGAATCCCGTACGCTTCAAAGCATGGTACGTTTGTCATGGATACTCTGCCGTTTGGGGTCAAGACTACACCAAGACCTCCGCACCAACCACACGGCTTGAATCTTTTCGCATTCTGACTCATCTCAGCGCTGCTTTGGACTGGGAGATCGACCAAATCGACATTAAGATGGCGTTCCTGCACGGCCTACTCGAATCTGATGAAGTGTGCTACATGCACCAGCCAGAAGGGTTCCTCGAGCCCGGCAAAGAGGATTGGCTTTGGGAGCTTCAAAAGGGCCTATACGGCATGAAACAAGGGGGTCTAGTCTGGAACCGCACCATGAATGACGCCATGCTATCTTGGGGTTTCACGCGTCTAAAATGCGAGCACTGCATATATTACCGCAAAACTACCCAGGGTGTACTCCTCGTCGCTATACATGTGGACGATTTCCTCACTGTCAGGAGCAACAAGGCCATCATCGCTGACTTTAAGACTCAGCTTCGTACTAAATGGTCTATCTCTGACCTAGGTGAAGCACACTTCTGCCTAGGCATTGCCATGGAACATAACCGAAGCAACCTGCACCATCAGTCTTTCTCAAACCAGCGCTCATCGACCGAATCATCACACAGTTTGGCTTGGCTGACGCTGCCCCAGTTTCAACTCCCATGGAAACCGGACTTCACCTTTCATGGCGCACCCATTCGCCTTCGACCGATGCTCAACACGACCTCATGACGCATACTCCCTACAGATCCCTTGTCGGCTCGCTTATGTATCTTGCCATAGGTACGTGTCCTGACATAGCACACAGCAGTCCAGCAACTATGTCGACATCTTGACTGTTATGGCCTGGTCCATTGGGATGCTGCGAAGCACGTTGTCCGATACCTCAAAGGGACTCGTGCCATCAAACTCGTACTCAGCGGCGACCATCCAGCGAGACTACTCGGATTCATGGATAGCGATTTTGCCAATTGCCCCGACACTCGCCGATCAGTCTCTGGCTATTGCTTTACCCTAGGAAGCGGCATGGTAACATGGAGTGCTCGTCAACAAAAGACCATCTCCCTCTCAACCTGCGAAGCTGAATACGTAGCTGCGTCCGACGCATCCAAAGAGCTGACGTGGTTACGGACTGTTACTACTTCGAAATCGACTTCGCACAACCATCCGCCACTCCTCTCCTCTGCAATAACACTGGCGGAATTACTTTATCTGAAGATGCCTCTTATCACTCAAAAGTTAAACACATTGATATCGCCATTCACTCCATTCACGAACGCGTCTCGCATGGACAACTCAAACTTTCTTATGTTAAATCATTTAATAACGCCGCCGACATATTTACAAAAGCACTTGCACGCAAGGATTTCGAACATTTACGCATCTGTCTAGGACTTCAGTGAGGAATCGAGGAGGAGTGTTAATGCCTTGCATGCTGATGTGATAAGCGGAGTTAGTTGTTGGAATTCGAACCATAATACTTGTAGTCATTTCACCTTCTCACCTTCCCTCAGTTTGTTCCACCACACTGAGGGCTTATGTGGTATCTAGTTGTAAAACATTGTCATAAGGTAGACATGGGGCGGAGTATGAGTGCAGTATTCCAACAACAGCTGCATACTGGCAGGCAGCGGTGGGCAGGCGGGAGACGCTGATCATCAATGATCAGCAATGAGCGGGCTGGGCTTTGTCATCAAACGGTGTTTAAACTCAGCTGTACTCTGCCAGACTTGCCGATGGGCCCCAGAGTCAGGCCCCAGAGTCTGCCCCAGATTTTGGCCCCAGAGTGTCCAACTCCCTGACATTCTGTTCAAGACGGGCAGGAGGCATAGTTGTTTCAAAGTCCGACGTACGATACCGGCCTGACCTTGAATCGGCCGAGGTTTCTAGCCGTGAGTTTGAAGCGTTTAGCCGGCATTTAACCGAGTTTCAAAACCTTCCAAAACCTATTCTGAGTACCACTACTAAGTATTTCGATCCTAGGATGTCCGCGCCAGGTGTGAATCAGCGTGCCGCCACAAATACAAACAAATAAACCTGCGCGGGCCCGCAGTGATTACAAACGAACAAAGTTTTCTATGGCGCATACTTTTTTTCACACCTCCGAGGGCACTCGATGCTTATGCCAATCATCTTATCTTTGTGAGTTATATTAATTGTCTTGATACCCATTTCTCAGCCAAGTGTGTTACCGCAGGGCTCATTGACGAGTCATGTCATCTTAGTAGGGTGCTTACGATAGGACCTTCCGACACCTATTCAAGATAGGTTTTAGGACTCGCCTTGAAATTTGCCGTGAACCCGAACCAATCCGGCGGACAAGAGTAGACTCTGCTTAACCATCATGCGTTTTGGTTTGTGACCAAATCGCCGTTGTCGGAAAGTTTGAAGCTGATTCCCATGACCGCAGTTTTGAAGTGTCGTAACTACGTCGTCGTTGGAGTCCTCTAAGATCTTGAGGCAGTATGGTTGCATCATATTTAACGTTGTCACTGCGGCTCGATCGCCGTTCTCCTAGGCAGTTAACCCGACACTGGATCTGACCCTCACAGACCGTGTACCGAGTCTATTGGCTCTGCACACCTGATCTCAACAATATTACCCTACCCTTGGAATCCAGATTTTCATTTCCACACTCGTTCGCGCCGTCGTGCCGTGATTCGGGTAGGGAAATTTTGCTCGACAATACTATGATGATGATACTCTTTCTGTCATGCAACTCAGCTTCAGTTGCCGTCCCATCTTCTAATGACCAGTGCAACAGATACCCCCTGCAATACCGCTCTTTCTACCCTGTACCCTGTGACGGTTCGTTTTGTCGTCATACCGCCGGTGCATATATAAGTCCGTCTAGGGATTCATTGAAATGTGAGTGTCCCTTGCCCAAGTATTACTGAGGCACGGTCACAGGTTAATGGCTATATGATCAGGCCTGGACCTACCGCGCAATCTTATAGCTCTATGCTGTATTACTGAGGCACGATCACAGATTAATGGCTATATGATCAGGCCTGGACCTACCGCGCAATCTTATAGCTCTATGCTGGACCCCTGAGTGTTGAATATTGAATGCCCTGGTGCTTCCCTCCTCAAGTACTCTGTTTCGAGCCCGTGTCCTTCCCACTACTAATTACTGTCCCAACTTCCTTGGCCGCCTTTTATTTGATTTCGAAACTTGCACGCTGCCGGCTGAATCACTCGTGCGTTGCCGCTTGCAGAGCATGCCATATATCAAAGTTTGCCGCCTCTGCACCTCTGTTAATGTTGGAACCAGCGGCAAGTCGAGGCTATATATTGTAGCTGTTAGGTTCTTCCGGTCACTACTGTAGCGATCGGACGGTGACTGCAGAACTAGTAACAACTTGAAGTACTGAGGACTTCCAGTGGCATATAAATTGACAAGCGTGATAAGTCTCAGATCCCCAAACAAAATCGCCTCGTTTACGGTACGTGATCAGACTTGAGCGACTTGAACATTGTGTTCATCTCACATTTAGCTCTTCTACGTGCCATTATTAGCACCTTTGCGTAGAACACACCCAAACTTTCAAGGTGGGCGGTTTGCCGGCGCTAATAGTCATCACTGACGATGAACGCATACACTAGACACCATGAAAATTCAGTTCGCTTACCTCGCCATCCTTGCCGTTGCCGCCGGGGTGAAGCCAGCTATCGCCCATGGTTCATGCGTAGACATTTGCTACGAAGTTCCGAAATCCGCTAACTGCGAGAAAGACTACGCACCCTACTGGTCAGATGTTAAAGGCTGCTACCTTTGCTGCGGCATCTTCTAGCTGGGGTAGCCACCAAGTTTATACATATGATGCATTTCATTTACCTATCAAAGCTAGTCACCCTTAGGCAGACTAATAGAAGAAAGAAAGCATTTGAACCCTTGCTCCATGCGCATGCACATTTCAGATATCCATCCAACTTTGTGTGTCAGGATGATAATATACGGATACCGCAAAGGTCTTCCTTAGCGTGGGATACGCGATCGTACATGGCACATAAGAAACTTGCGCAAAACTCGCTTGGTGTCCCGCAGTATTAAAAAACGGCGAATTTGGGACTAGGGCTGCGAAGGTTAGGAGCATCTGCCATGAAATATCTTGTTCCACTACCTGATTCGGAAGGGAAACCCGAGGAGATGGGAATTCACCGCCCTCTGCAGCCGAGTCTCGATTGAGCAAAATGATGGGCCATCGAACTGGCTCGGTTGTACATTGAAGATTTATTATACTGGTGTACGACGATCGATGAATATATAAAAGGTGGAGTCGACATGAGGTGGAAATCGACATGGTTCCCGTCCGTTAGATCTGGAATTTGAATTTCAGTATCGTCGGACTCGCACGGCGTCTCATCAGACGCTCAAGCACGACCCGATGTTTACCAACCTTGTGGCAGTCTGATAAACGGACAGACAACAACATAATCAACTGTCGAGTTCATCCTCAACTTTGGTCAGGACTAAATTGTGGAAGACCTACACATTCTCCCCTCCTGCGTAGTAAAAATTTTCCAAGAGCCTGGTCAGACTCAAGTCTTAAGCGCTTAAGCTTTAGCGTTTAACAACAAATCTCTAAAATCAGAAAAACTCACCACTGTACAATGACGCCCGAGGAAAATTCCATTAGACCTTACCTGAATCCCTAAACAGACGGACAGACAGACGCCAACATGGTCAACATCAACCGTCGAGTCCATCCTAAACATAGATCGAGCATCGATGGCTGCATTGTATAAACATAGCCTCTGCTCCATTACGACCCATGTCTTGTAAGTCGCCGTGCCGCAACAAAAGCTATGTCTTCATCTCCACAATTTGTGTGCATAACTCGCAGTATGCGCCACGAACCTGAAGTCAATAATCTGACAAAATTAAAATACAACCATAGAACCTGACCACAGTCAATCTCAGAAAAGAAAGACGTCAACACGATCAACTGCGGACCAAGTATCGATCGTTGGATTGAAGAGACTAGGCTTACGTCCCACGCCACCAGCGGGCTAAGTTGGAATAGAAGCTAGGTTTTCATGTCGTCTGACACAGGTCATCCAACACCTGGTAGCTCACATGAGTTCATTACAAACACGCACGACAGAAAAGCGCACCAGCATGGTGACTACCGCCCAGCATCCTTATCACCTCCAGACTCTGCAATCACCCAAAGGGGGAAAATCCGATTAACCTTTCTCAGATTCATAAAACTCCCACAGTAGACACCCGGTTTCATGAGGGGGTGAGAGAGCTGTCGCACATCTTGCCCACCCTGGACTGCGTAGACTGTTGGCAGCGTGCGTGATGCGTGTATCGCACCATGATCGAGGTGCGACTATCAGTATCCGAGTCGTCTAACGTCTATTAGAAGCTTCCACGGTAGGCACCCCACCGAGAGAAATAGAAGAGATGTGAGTGAGTGCATATCCAATCCAACCCACATGCCATCTTTCCCCCTCGGGTGGGTAATGATAGACTCCCAGCATGCATGCATGCAGCCGTGCGTGCATCGCACCATTGAGGACCCCACCCCATTGAGTATGTGTCAGCGAGACCAGAAATCGGGACCGAGTACAGCCCGGTGCCACTAAGTATCCATAATCTATCCAGGCCTAGCCTCGATCAGTCTGTTCCACGTTCGGGTTCCGGGATATACCGGCCTGTGTATGTGAGTAGTATAGCGTCCGAAGAAGAAGTACTGATCATACCTGCAAATTGACATCACAGGATTAATACTAGTACAGCCATGACAAATAGCTGAACGTTGAACGTTCGACTATCAGTAGCTCCACGATCTCCATTTGCCTCATTGATCACACGGGTAGATGAGTTGAAGTCAAGTCTGATCCTGGTCCGTTCAGATGGTGAAAGTCCAAGAGGGTCCAAGTTGCCAGTGGTGGAATGCGAGTACACATACAGGACAAAGTTAGTAAATGGGCGCTTATAAAGCGAATAAGATCTTTCTTGTGTGGGTGGTGGCGTTTTAGTTCTGTTCCCAGAGGCACAAGCTCCACATTTCACTGATTGCGGTACTTATCGCAGATATCAAACGCGTCGGCGTCAAGATAGCTATTAGCGGAAGTCAGAAAGCAAAAGTCGGCGGAGTCCCGTTGTCATCACCCAAGCGACATAAATACAAACGGGAAGAGTCAGCGCCGGGGTCCAATAGCAATCATATCGCACAGGACGTGAGCGTGAGCGCAGCATAAGAACAAGACGACGAGAACGCCATTTCGTGGAATCCAACGCGGCACGAACGCGAAGAGTCTGCACCAAGACCCAATAGCGATATGTCGTGTATTGTAGCCGCAGAACAAGAACAACAAGCGCACCACTTTCTAGAACCTATGGCGGGTAGCAAAAACAGAAAGCAAGAAGCGTAACAGCCTTGATCAAGAAGCAGAACGACAATAACCAATGACACGTTGATAGAAGCACAAGCGAAGATAAGAGTTTTTTTTGCAATACCGGCGGCATGCCAGTATACGGTCACAAATGACGGAGCAGGCCGGCAATCGAATGAACGGCCTGACGGATGCGAAATGTGAATGGTGAAGTGCATCCGGTTCTCTTGGCGTATATGATAGGTAGAGACATCTTTTTAGGGTCGTGTGCGTGGTAGCTTGATGGGCGGATGGGATGCCGCCACAGAGGGACTTGGAATCCTGATGTAAATAAACGACCCTGTAGAGGAAATGCATGCTACGGAAGCCAGCAGGGAAATGAATGAGAGACCGTGATCGAATTTGACATGTATGTACCTCGCAACTCGTTCTGCAGACGACGTGCGCATATGCGTTGCATAGCGTCGAGCCATGCTCGATCTGCAACAAATGGGTACCGGAACATGCAGCCGAATGGAAGATGGAACAAACACCACTTGCGAATTGAAGCCGCGGGGCCGTAGCAGAGTGCGCACAGCAAGGGCGGTGGTGGAGCACGAGAGGAATCTGGAACTAAAATATCCGATATTCCAACAGTTCAAGGTTAACTTTGAACACGTGTACAACATGAAGAAACTGAAGCTGCATGATGGTATTTCAACTTGATTAATGACGGGCGTTGCTGGTGTAGATCTTGTTCTGCACATGTGTATTCCACCGCAACATATGGAAGTCCTGTCAGTGGGTGCACATTGCAAGAGTGCAGATCGTGAAAAATCCCATAGATCCACCATCCTGATGCTGCATGATGAAATTTCAAGTGGATTGACGATTGATGCAAATCCTGTCATGCACATTGTACCGCGACATAATAGAGCGCAAATGGTAGTGATGTATCGTTGAAAAGCTGTAGATCCAGCGTCGCGCCAGAAGCAGGATTTACATGGACTAGCGTCTCAGATCTAAAATCAAGGTCAAAACGAGTCACCCCAGATTCACATTCACCGAGAAATCTGCTAGGGATGTTTCATATCAACACAGATCCCAAAGTGCATGAAGAGGGTTCAGGACTGTTCTCCCGGCGGCAGGGAGGATAAGAACTTGTATTGATTGCCCCGTTGTGAGTGAAGAGGGTGTGCAGAGCAAGATAGGAACTTGTATTGATTGAGGTGAAGAGGAAGAGCTAGTCACGAGACTGGAGCGAACATGTGGGGAAAGGATTTTATTGCCCCATTAAGGATACGTAATACCGCGGGGGGTTAAGGTGAGACGGCGTTGATGGGATCTATACGGCGGAGATAGTGTGAAGGGGGGTCGAGTATCAGGGTCAAACAATGCACAAAGGCCGCGTTTTTTAGATGGCATATTATATTACCTAATTTAGAAATGTGTGGATCAGAGCGTACTAGTCGGAACCAAATTGGAAATTGACGGCGGAAGCAAATTCCTGTCTTGAAAGGGGCCCGGCGGAGTGTTTAATTTAGTAAGATTGAATCCCAATCGAGTGAAAGAGATACTAAATTAGGAAGTATCATCAGTTATGGCAGTAGAGTGCCTCGCATGTGGGGGCGGATTAGGGTTAGATTGCACATGAGCGTAAAACCCGAGTGAAAACGGTTCAATTCAGATTTCAATTCCTCCCTCAAGCGTCAATGGCAG